CCAGGGCAGTTTCGGATTGAATGGTAAATAATATCGTATGTTTACAAAGAAAGTACAAATATATTTATTTTCAGAAAAGTAGATTTTAATATTTTTTTCAATATTTAATAGGGAGTGGAAAATAAAATGAGAATTATCACGTTTATTATTATTGAATTGACCGTAGTTATGATTTAGTGGATTTTTTTTAATAAAACAAATATTACAGGACTTAATCACTGCAGTTATCACGAATTTGCAAAAAAATGGGCTTAGTGGATTTTCTTTGTATGCCCACGCTATTTAATATTCACATTAGATATTGACTACATTTTATGACATTGTTGCAAATAATAACAAAACCATTGTTTTTGTTTATGACCTTTATTATCATCTGTATTAGCTAGCATCTTTGTAGGTATATCATAATAACAAAATTTGCAAAAGTTTACTATCAAATTACTCTTGATAAAAGCAGCTGAAGACTAACATCGCTTATTGTTAAAATACATATTCAGCATGTTTATAAAATTATACAGGGTGGCTGTTAAAGATTAAACCAAACCTCTGTTGCTTACACCAAAAATGTATGTAGTTAAATTTGAAATATTTGCTCACAAGTAGGAGCAACTTTTTTAGGGTCGTCGTCTTGATTTTTTTTTAATGAGAATCAGGTTTTCAAATTCCTTTAAATGGTGTATTATTAAAAATCAAGATTTATTGCTCAACATTTACTCATACAATAAAAATTTCACCAACTTGTGCACAAATTAATCTAATTTAACTATACAGTATGTTAAGTTTCATTCAATGACGCAGAAGAACGGTATAGAATACCTAAGCGATGCTATTGGTTAGAATGATTAGATGGAGATAGAGGTAGAAGAGGACGCGTCGTCCACTAGCGGCAGGTAGTCAGCGGATAAAAGAGTCTGTCTTTATTTCGAAAGGTCCACGGGTTAACATTTTGTATACATTTTTACATCGAGAAGTGTATTGAAGGTATTGACAAATCTCTTTTAAGTACATCGTTTCAATATCTATTTCTCACCACTAAGAAAAATACATATTGGGCTGATGTTCCTCTATAAATTAACACACAATTCTATTGATTCTCCTGAGGGGTGAATCACTCCCGAAATATTGGTACGTTTTCACCCAAAATCACTACAAATTTTGTCGAAATTTTCGAAATCGTCATCGAAAAACATGATCAAAATCATCACCGAAGTGACTTCGAAATTATTTCGTCACCCAAAAGAAGTAGAAGAGACAAAAAAAGGTCATCGTATAAAATTAAGGGGTATTTTCAGCGAAATTACCGAAATGATATAAAATCAATTTTAGGCAATTTCCGAAATATGGGTAAGTTTTGACCTTAGTGGTTTACCCCCCTCAGATTCTCCAAATCTTTATCAAGTGGATTTTCACGTTCCTAAAATTCTCTCTAGAAGAACTACTATAATATTTTACTTAAATAATACTAGAACTAATATTATTTCTAAATCCCCACTTCATAGAATTTACAACAACTTTAATCATGTGGCAAACTCATGCAATATTTACCATGATTCACTAGCTCTAGTTTTAAATAAATCCAGTCAACACTTTCATATAAATTATCTTAATCTTAATTTTTGTAAGAAATTTCTAATATTCTAGTTATTGCTTTTATACGAACTGAATAATAATAATAATGTTTCTTTCCTTCGTCTCTTTTTAATATATATATTTTTGTCACCTAAATATGTTAAGAACAAACCGAGCACCTTGAAAATCTCAAATTCCTTCTAATTTTTGTAAAATTTTCAGGAAATATCAATAATAACAAAACTTATGGTGAAGAATCCTTGATTTTTTTTTGTAAACCTTCGAAATGTATTTATTTTGATAATTTTTAAAAGGAATTAAAAAAATATATTTACGCCCATTCTGTATTAAATCTATGAAAATTTGTTGCTTTTTGTTTTAATAAATATATAATAAATAGTTTTTAAATGAGAGGGTTTCTCACTTTTTTTTTCTTAAATACTTCGTAGAGTGCTGCCTTACCGTTGCATAAATTTAAATCTCCCAATATTCTCGAGACACATAGCATCGCGATGCATTCCCAGTGGCACGCATATAAATACAATTTTACCTCAAAACATTTTCGGGAGAGGTCCGGTTTGCTCTTAAAAAATATTTTAAATAATTCTGCTTGGTTGAATATACTTGACGTTACTTTCATTTAGTTGTACATTTCTAATTATATTTTCTGTTGAACAGTAAAAAATAAAGAATTATTATTAACAGCAACCCTGTATATTTATACAAAATAAAACCGAAACTTTAACTGTAAGTGACTCGGGTATAATCTAATATTTTTATACTACTATTAAAATGTCCAAAAATATGTATATAAACTGTTGTCTGTGACTAACGCTGTATAGATAATGTTTTTCCTCAGTAGCAATTAATATTTACTAAATTTTTTGTTATCAGGAATAAGTATTTTTTATCAGTATTTTTCATTTGTTTAACCTAATAAAATAATAATAAAATAACCACGATCGAAGTAAATTTTATCTAAAAAAATCTTTCACATTATTACCTAAGTTTTATGTATATATTTAATATGAAAATTATATTTGTCTTGGACAAATAAATTCAACACAAAATAAAATAAATTTATAATACCTATTTTTATATAATAAACAATAATTTATTAATACCAATTCTTTGGGCAGTACATTTACCGTTCTGCCAGTTTAAAAATAGCAAATCAAGGTCTTTAAAATCACTCATTTTCATACAATTCATCTCATTAGCCTGACGAGCACCCATTATTAATGAAAACTTAAAAAAATTAAATGTAATTCGAACCATTTTCGACCAATCCGATCATGCTCTAATCCTTTAAGTCCCTCTCTGACTTGTTTGTGCTTTTAAAACTTCACTTGTTCGATTATTAAAGAATATTTAAAGAAATAAGTCAACCCCCATCCCTCCGGTAATACGCCAATAGCTAGTCGTAGAGATTCATTCATAAAATGCACGAGAACGATCACAAATTTGGTAAAGGCGCAGTCTAAGAAATGATGGAGGTGCTTTATAGAAACTTATTGGAGCCACAAGAATAAATAATAACCAGAAGGATATCTCTCATTTAATTCCTTTTTAAGTTCAGACACTACAAATATAGATAAGTAAAAGATGTATATATATAAAAAAAATATTTACTTATCTTTCCAAATGACACCCTTTTTGTCTTTTATAGTTTTAAAATTTCGGTTTATACATTTAAGAGTATAAAATAATCTTACTCTACCGAATAATTTTATTACATGGATGTGAAAAACTTGTATTTCTACGAATACTTTGAAATGTATCTATTACATTTTCGTTTATAATAATAGTTTCAAAATTTATTTGAAATATTACCTCTAAAAAGGAGATAAATTTTACAAAATCATTCTGTGGCGTGTTTAAGTTACCAAATAAATCTAAATTGGAGCTGTTATAAACTTTATAGTAACAAAATAAAGGTGTATGGTCTTAAGAGTTTTACTACAACAAAGTTTAATAAAAAAATAGATTATTATTTTTATTAATTTAATAAAATAAACATTAAGGTATGTATGAAAGTTTCGGTGTAGGTATGCTTGAAGGTCACGAGCCCTCGAAAATCACGTGATCGGAGATATCCTTCTGGTTATTATTTATTCTTGTGCCTTGGCGAAACTTCCACATATTTTAATTTCTGGCGAATGCGCTATAGGAATGTTTGCGATCTCACATTTTAGGCAAGATAACTAATAAAAAATGGGTACATTTTAAAACTGTCGTGGACAAAAAGTATTATGAAGTAGCTCATTTTCGATTATTTTCTGTCCAAAAAAACACGTTGGAATAAAAACTTTATTACAAACGTACAGAATCACTGTTTGTTATTCAATCGATTACAGAAAAATCCTACTAAAATATAAGAATGCACGTTTTGCCTCGAGTGCAATGATTGTGGAATTACATTAGTGCTTTTTCTCTTAAAATAAAAATGATCTTTACTCAGGTAGGCTAGTTCCTGTTAAGGAACTGAAATGCGATAAATGGTTTCATAGATTTGAGAAAGATAATAAAATAAATGTTATAGGTAGTTAGCCTCTGAGCCACATTTTGGTTCTCGCTACATTTCGTAAGATGTCAATACGCCCACATTATTTGATTTTTTATAAGTTTATTCCGCCTTACCGGCGCCTGTAGAATTAATTTACTTCTTTAATATCTTATTTTGCAATAAACTGATCAGTCTACAATAAAATCGCAGTGTAAAAAGTTACATAATTAACAGAAACCATTCAAGTAAGTTAAAACGTGCTTAAGTTATTTCAACATTAATGCCAGTCTCGATTTTTTAACACGCGGCTCCATTTAAATGCGTCACGAATCACGAAATTGAATATTAAACGAACTACTATAAATATGTTTCTTATTTTGACGTATAAAATGACAGCAAGTATCAAAATGATCTACACATAAAGTTGAACAATATGTAATTGGTTACAAAAAGTTCATTATGTCAAAGAAAAGAAAACAAATAAAAGTAAACCTTTTTGATTTTAAAATCAATATATAGAGTGAGTCATAATTATTAGGACAGAGTAAGCGCATGTTATTTGAATCAAATTCTGAGGAATGGACCCAACATATCTTAATAAAATGTTGAAACATTTTTTTTAATTAAAACATTTTTTTCTTTATTTTAAAAGTAGAGAAATCCGTATTAAATTATTCCTCTCTAGGAACATTCAATTATTTTAAAAACTAACTAATTTGTATTTATGTAACTATTTGTGATGGATTAAGAAATTCGTATCTATCTTCTAGGAACATTGTATTATTTTAAAAAAATACTTTATATTTATGTAGGTAACTGTTTGTCTTGATTAAGAAATTAAATGTACTTAGTAATTACTAAGAAATACTGATTTTGACTATTTATTTTTGACTATATGTATAACAAGGATTTATTTTTGTTTCAGAAAATGCAAGAATGGTATCAAATGAAGTTACCTTACTCCTTCATCTGCATGTGTGCGTTTTGGTTTTATACACATCATCAACAGTAGCTTATCAACATGACTTCAGGTTTATTTCATACCAAGGTAAGATAAGTTTTCTTGTAATTTTCAAAGAAATCTCTTATAGTTTTAATTGTATGAAATAAATATATTCCAGTCATTTGTTAATAATGAAAAGAGAATTTCTAGAATTCCTAGTAAAATTTGCTGTAATGATAATGAAAGCATTTAGTACATTCTTTGAAAGTGTCTATTCTTTGCTAGATAATGATGACTTAAATTTACATTTTAACTATGATTATCTTATTTAACTGTATCTACTGGTATATATCTACTAAAAATGTGATATTTATATATCAACATGGATTCATGACTTCTCATTCAACTGTTAGTAATCTGGCAGATTTTAGTCAATATCTCTGTGAATCATTAGATAGTAGAGGACAGGTTGATGCAGTGTATACCGATTACTCAAAGGTCTTTGATAAAATTAGTCACAAAATATTTCTGTAAAAGCTTTCTTGTTTAGATTTTAATATCACTTCTTATCAAATCATATCTAACTCAGCGCAAACAATACGTTTGTTATAATGGATTTAATTTCAGATTTCTTTACTTTAAGTATTACCTCAAGGGTTCAATTTAGGGCCACTACTATTCTTAATATTTATCTTAATGCTTTGCAAATGACTTAAAATTATATTCCCGTATTTCCAGTAGGTACAGAAATGGTTTTATATTTATTTTTGCTTCAGATCTCCAGTCTTCGGTTACAAGTTTTCAATCTGAAGGAAATACATCATTTTCGCAAATGTTATTCGATATATCGAGAAATCAAATTTTCGTAGGTGCAAGGTAACAAAATAAAATGTTTTCATAAAATACAGACATTATATAACTTAATTTTTTTTTCATAGAGATGGTTTATATAGATTGTCCGTATCAAAATTGAAATTTTTGGAATATGCAAATTGGGAATCGTCAGAAAAGAAAAGAAATGCTTGTATGTTCAAGGGCCAAAAGGAGGAAAGTTGCCATAATTTTATAAAAGTTCTATTAAGCGATGGAAAAGAAATTTGGTCATGTGGTACTAATGCTTTCTCCCCGCAGTGTTCTTGGAGAGAAGTAAGGATATTTTATATTATCCGGAGGTAGTAATTTCGAAGTTTTAGCACTAGAATATTGTAGTGACTTACTTTTTATATTTTAACTAAAATTAGATACGGAAAATTATGTTTCATTTTCTAATTTAATTTATATAATAGCAAAATGCATTATTTTGCCTGTTTAATCTAACTTTTAAAATCATTTCCTTCCACAAAACATATACAGTGCTTTCGTAAAGTAGTAAATTAATTAATTTTTAGTCAAAATATTCATTCGCTTTTAAGGAAATTCCCGAAAAGGGTTGAATTTTAATTTCCCACATTTTGAACAAAAAGTTACATATACAGGGCGATGAACTTGTGAATAATGACGTCAGCGACAATTTTTTTTTAAATATGATACCCTATGTATAATATTCAATTTTTGAAATCGCCATGGAAAAATGAATTTTAAAACATATATACTACATTCTTTCGTAAAGTAGGTAGGTAGTGGATAAATTAGTTAAACATTCAAAGAATAACTTTTGGAAAAACACTAGAAGAGTCGAATTTTAATACATACAGGATGATTCGTGTAGGAGGAATGACGTCATCTATATTTTTTTAATGGTCATTCCATTTTCCGAAAATAAAATAGAAAAATCTATTATGAAATATCAAAATATTAAATTTAGTGGCAATGGTAGAAAAAACAACAAAATTAAATATTGTACCATTAGCTTCCTATTTCCACTTGCCTGACAAAAATTTACTGTAAAAACTAAATATTTTGAGTGTTTCAAAATTTTTGCGAAATTCACACCTTCGGATTCCTCGACAGACCTTTTTTTCCAAAACAATACCAATGTCCTATTTTGTTTTTCAGATTAATAATATATCAAATGTAACAAAAGTTATGGATGGGATAGCAAAAAGTCCGTATAATCCCGCTGCTAATATAACTGCATTTTTGTCTGAGAACGGAGACTACTATTTTGCTGGTCCTACAGATTTTTCCGGATCGGACTCGTTGATCTCAAAAAGTGTTGGAAACAGAGTGCTACGTACCAAACAGTCTGACAGTTTTTGGCTTAACGAACCACAATTTGTTGGTTCCTTTGAAACTGATAGGTTCGTTTATTTTTTATTTCGAGAAGCGGCTGTGGAATATATGAACTGCGGAAAAAATGTGTATTCAAGAATAGCAAGGGTGTGCAAAAATGATAAAGGTGGAGAACAATCTATGTTTAGAGACAATTTTTCTACGTTTATAAAAGCCCGATTGAACTGCTCATTAAGTGGCGATTATCCATTTTATTTCAATGAAATTCAGGGTATTTCATACGTATCTACTGAAAATATTGTGTACGCAACTTTCGGCACTCCGTCAAATAGCATTCCAGGATCTGCCATCTGTGCATTTAACCTAACAACAATAAACAGAGCCTTCGATGGACCTTTTAAATATCAACAAGATATAGACAGTGCATGGAGTCAACACAAGAATTCATATAAGGATCATTTTAACTGTGAAGCAACTCATAGAAAAGTAAATTTATTAGAGACATCTCAATACCATTTGATGGATTCTGCAGTACAATCTACGAATATTGATCCACTTCATGTTGCCACAGGAGAGCGTTTTACTCACATTACAATAGATGTAGTCGAAACGAAATTGACTAATGTTCATATTATTTATGTAGCTACATTAGAGGGCATTATTAAAAAGTTAAGTTTACTACCACCTTATAAACACACTTGTGTGGTTGAAATATGGCAAGTTGTTCCAGATACAAACATTCCAATTAAAAATATGCAATTCCTAAAAGAGACAAATTCCGTGTACATTACAACGAATCAAGCATTAATGCAAATATCAGTAGATCACTGTAACAGACATTCCTCCTGGGAGAACTGCCAAAATGCTATGGACCCGTACTGCGGTTGGAACGATAGAGAAGAGATGTGTTCTAGAGCACCGCGAGGAGATCCTCACAATAAATATTGGAAGCAGATTATTTCCACCTGTCCTTCTTTATACACACCTGTTGATGGAGGGTGGGGTAGTTGGTCTACATGGGCTCCTTGTAACCACAGAGCTTTATTGGATTTTAATTCTTCCGATCAGTGTTTATGTCAAACCAGAGAATGTAACAATCCCGCACCTATCAACAACGGAAAACCATGTATCGGTCATTCGATATCCGTCATAAACTGTACAGTCCATGGCGGATGGTCTGATTGGTCAGCGTGGTCAGCATGCTCAGCTACCTGCGGTACAGCTGTTAAAACCAGGACTAGAACATGCACTAATCCAGCACCAGCTTTTGGAGGTAGAGTTTGTGTCGGACAAGATCGAATGGAAGCATTTTGTTCTGAATATTCTCCATGTCCATCTCAACCGATAGATGGTGGTTGGGGTCCTTGGTCGCCATGGACTTCTTGCACAGCTCCTTGTGGGGGAGGTTATAGAATAAGACAACGAAAATGTGATAACCCCTCACCTTACAACGGTGGTCAGCATTGTAGAGGTAACGATGTAGAACATGAAAGATGTAATGATAGTCCTTGTACTGATATTAAAAAAATCCAAACCACTGACTGGGTTACTGACACCAATACTACCTTCACTGGCTATCACAAGAAAAGATACAAGATCACATGTAAAGCTCCAGTGAAATTCCAAAACCAAATAAAGATTTCCATAAGGGAAGAGGAACGATTCTGTTCAAATCTTCAGTGTAACAATGACGACAACGAATTTTTAGGCTGGACTACATGGTTAAATTGGAGTGAGTGCTCAGTGAGTTGCGGAGGTGGTACTCAAAAAAGGACTAGGTCTTGCAGAAAGGGAAGGAACTGTTTAGGCGAGTCTATGCAAATTAAAGAATGCAATATACATAGCTGTGAAGATACATGGGGTTGCTGGTCAGAATGGTCACCATGTAATGTTTCATGTGGATGGGGAGTCAAAACACGTACAAGAACTTGTTTGGGACAAAACTGTAATGGACCATCGAGAGAACAACAACCTTGTCAGGATCAACCATGTGAAGGTAGCTATGCAGATGAAAAATATAATATATGCCTTTTTTTTGGTATTTTCCTCGAAATATAGGTGCAATATAATTTTAATTTTAAATACTCCCGTAATTGAATTTGTAACTTTAGGATAGGTTAAAAAATAATTACGTACCAGCTGCATTAGTCGAAAACAAAAAAATAACATTACAATAGTTTTTTAAATCGGACTTGACTAAGGAAGTAAAATGTCGTCCATTTGTAAGCAAAACATGTAACTTTGGAATGTAAAATCATCCTAAATAACACCTATTGTACGGCTATCAAAACTGTAATTTTTTATTTTAAATATTTATTCTTGACAAGTGTTATTACATTAAACACTCTTTTATAGGAATTCTAGGATGGGGTAACTGGACAGAGTGGTCCCTGTGTGATCAAAATGATGAACAACATAGAAAAAGAAAATGTTTCCATGAAAATCCAGGTCCACAGGAATGTCAGGGAAAAGACTGGGAAACCAGAATTTGTTTTGGAGACTTTCCAAACGGTGAGTCTATTGTTTATTACTAAATAATTAACAAATGGTACAATAGAGGGGAAGGGGGGAGGTAGAAAATAAAACTAAACATGCATCATGTTATTTTTTAATTAACATTGACAGATGGCTGCAAAGTCATAGTGCCTAGTAGTCACAAGGACAGCCACTGGTATCTGCTATAGTAGTTTAAGACAAGTTTACATTCTCATGATAGTGATTCTATCGAATGGATTGTCCGTATCGCACACTTCGTGCGATATGGCCATCATATCAACTCTTGTTACACAAACTACTATTTTTCTGATTTAGCTAGTTTAGAAAAATCTTAGAAAATATGATTTACAGACAAAAGTTATGAACAAAAAAAAAAAGTTTTAGTTTAAAAATATTCGATTTTAGTTAGGTTTTATGCAGTCAAGTTAACAATCATTCTGAAATTCTGGATTTGTCACAAGTGTGCAGTACATTTTAGATGAGATACGAAATAAAAGTTGTTATATTATACAGAGTGTTGTAAATAAGTACGAAATATTTTTGGGGGTGGTTGCCAAAGTTATTTTGTTAAAAAAAGTTCCTATAAACGTAGATCGAAATATGGTTCGTTTCGGAGATACAGAATGTTTAAATTTAAATTTTTTATGTATTTCTATTAATTATTTCAAAGAGTTTTAAAGGTATTGACTCGAAATTTACAAAACGCTTTGGAGGGATAAATGTGCATTTTGGGGTGGTCCGAATATTTATACCTGCACCAGTGGCGTTCGTGCGAAATGCCATAACTTTTTTTTAATAAAAGAATGGTGCGCCACTGACTTTTTCCCGTCTTGAAATTTAGATAACGAAATAACTTCGGCAATCACCCCCTAAAGTATTTCGCACTTATTTACAAACACCCTGTATAGACAGCAATGTAGGTAAACACAGTTTTGTCAAAATATACAAAGTTTATTAGTATAAAATTCAATGATTGGTTCTGATACTATTTTAACAGATGAAAAAATAATCAGATTAAAAGTTTTTTTGAAAATAAGTCATCTTCTACGGAACTTCATTATGATACCTCCACACATTCGCAAAAGCAAACCTTCTAACTGGTCTCTTTTACCTGTTTCAAATATACAAATATATATAGGTACTATCGGTTTAACGACATGTAGAAATCAAAGGTAATAATTATTATTCTTACCTGTTGGACTCGTTTCAGTTTACATATTAGGAATTGGCACATCCCACACAAAAACTACAATTTTTAAGAACGCGAAAATATCTTGTTTTATTTAACTAAAGAATACAACACCTTGTTTTAATTTGTTAGGTATTTTAAAAAGAACCTTGAAATCAACATAAAAATTTCATTTAGGAAAAAATTACAAACTTATGAAATTATTTTTGGTTCATTATTTGTCAAAGTACTAACGGATTTAATGTGAAGTTTATACATACATTTTTTTCTATATCCACACATTATATTGTCTATTTTTATACACCTACAAATTAGATCCAGATCTCATAACGCCCTTATATACGTGGGTGTTTATAACAATCGCGAAAACCTTCCCAACAAACAATGAATTGTCGGGATATTGCTGGCCTTTTGCTGTAATTGAAGGGAAAATGAATGCGACGATTAAAATTTAAAAGCCTACTTCTGGCCTTTCGATAGTGGCCCAGCATTATGTTGGCTGATGATGGCCTTATGAAGGGTAAGTAACTGTATTGGGTAAAAGCACGGTAAAAGTCAAAAAGCTTTTAACTGAGGGCTCTGTCCCGCGTTTATAGATGGAGACACAGATGAACATTTGCTACATACTCAATGGGTGGCTAGTCTCGCATTGCTGGTATTCACTATTCATTGTAAAGTAGTTTTGATTTAAATCATTTAGCCTGCAGAAATGAAAAAAAGGCATATTTTGAATACAAATTAAGAGTAGGAGCTAGGTATATGTGGAAAAATCTAAAACAACTAAACATCGGGAAAGAGTCATATACTATACCCAATCCCTTATGTAACCCCACCAATTTAAATAAATACTACAATTCATGTATTCAAAAATTATTATCCCTTCGCGTGATAAAGTTTCTTTCACTCCAGTTACAAATGATAGATCCAAAAATTACTGTACTCAATTAAATCAAATGCTCAAGGTTCTGATGGTTTAAATATAAAAATGTTGCTTCAGTGCTGTCCTTTAATCATTCAGTGTGTCTCACATATAATTAATAATGGCATTAATAGACATTACTTCCCTAGCAACTGGAAACAAGCTCTTATCATGCAGATCTGTCCCAAAAACTAGTAATCCAACCGAATTTAAGGATCTAAAGCCTATTAGTATTCTCCCAACTTTCTCAAAGATACTTGAAAGAATAATAGAAGAACAAATTCGTATGTACTTATCAACTTATAATATTTTACCAGAATATCAGTCAGGTTTCAGACCATCTCATAATTGTGAAACTGCACTTCTAAACGTAACCGATGATATTTTAATGGCTAGGGATGATGATTTTAATCTTAACAGACTTTAGTAAAGCATTCGATACCTTTAATCATTCCCTGCTGTGTGCCGTACTTCATTATATAGGGTTTTCGCCTGATGCCTTAGGTTTGATAAAATATCACTTAAGTGATCGAAGCCAACGTGTTAAAATTAATGAAATTATTTCTGATTCTCTGAGGGTACGATCTGGAGTTCTTCAGGGATCTATATTAGGACCTGTACTATTTACTCTTTATACAAAGAATATCGGAACAGTCTTAAAATCTTGCAAGGCTCACCTATATGACGACGATATCAAATTTATAGCTCTTTTCATCCAAACAATATTTTACATGCCACTGATATTATCAACCAAGATCTCAAAAATTTAGTTATGTGGGCAAAAACACATGCTCTTAACATTAATTCGAAAAAAACGAATGTTCTTGTCTTTGACCCAAATAAATTTTGTCCTGACTCAATTAAATTAAATTTTGAGGGTGATATAATAAAACCCGTAAACAGTGCAAAAAACCTTGGTATAGTTATGGACAATCAGCTCAAATTTAGCAGTCATATATGTATTCAAAATGCCTTCATTAACCTAAAAACAATTTATATTAATCGTCATTTTTTTATGATTTGTGACAGCTCTGCTTAAAAGTTGAATGTCAAAATTTATAAGCCTTTCATATAGCAGTAATTTTTACCATTAATAATACTGTTTTTTTTTTCAGAAGCTGCTCCCATCCTATTAGAATCTACTTCATGCATGTTAGTGGGATTCTCATTTTTTTTCTTAGGAGCCATAGTAGGCTTATTCCCCTATGTCGCAATTTTAATCTACAATTACTTCAAAAAGAAGAAAAACACTATACCAAGTTCTCCGCATTATATAAGTGCCGAACAAAATCCATACATCTCTGTACCTACAAGAGAAAAATTACCAAGAAAACATAGTCCTAACCACGTCGGGTCTTACCCTCAAAATGGGACCATAAAGGCAGGAAGGAAATTTTTTCCTGACGAATTTGAAATCCCAACTACGTTGAAAAGGAATAGTCACGGCATAGGAAATGGTTTCGCCAAACAATATGATAATGATAAAAGTTACTACGACTGATGGTTTAAGTTTTAAAAATTGTTCGTTTTATTTATAAACATTTTATAACTCGGATAAGAGAATGGTGATAAGGTTTTGAACCCAGACCTTATTTAATAGAATGCTGCTGCCAGTCATAGGATAGAAAAGAAAATTAATATGTATTTTTTTATAATAAAGACCAGTGTACTTTCTGAAAAAAAGTACATGAAATGCAGCTATTTAAAATATCCGAGCACATTGGTAGGTAACTCAACGAAAACTGAGATTTAGCAGATTAACTTAATCTATAAAATCTTTGAACTGATCATTATTATTATTACTATTTCTGCTAAATCTAACATATTTCATATAAATCTCTTTCTGCTGATAGTTATTTATACAAGTTCATAAAGGGGTGTCTTTATACACAAGTTGTGTATACTATTTTTTCTACAATCATAAAAATAAACCAAAATTAAGAAAGACGAAAAACTTTATTAACGCAAAAACCTCGAGAAATCTTAATACAATCAAAAAATGAAGTCTTTCCAAAACGCTTGTCGCCTTTTACCGGTGAGGGAATAGGATAAATGTATTGTCAATAATTACTGTGCAACGTAAATCTGTATTGATACAGACAACGCTCAGTATGAATGTCATTTTAATGATTGTAGAAAAAAATAGTTGTGGCAACCCAAATCAGTTTGTTTCTTGAAAAATAGGTTGATATTTTCAAAATTTATTGTTAATATTGATTTTTATTATATATGTATTTTCGGTAGTACTCAGTCGGTAAATTAACGATAGAGATAGAAAAAATAACTGATACAAGTTGCTACCTACATTGACAATTTTAATCGAATTTAATGTGCCAAAATATGTATATTTTTAAAAAATTTAGTCTATTGTTTTATCATATTTTTATGTTCAGCTATTATACTCAGTAAGTAATCTTTACAGTTTTATGTAAAAATTTTATATAAATGTATATGTATATTTTTTATAAGAATGTGATATATTTAATTAAGTTTTTTCTGTTTTGTTGACCAGTAGTGAGTTTCCATGTAGCTCCTATTTATAATTTGTTGTTATTAAATGAGTTATGTACCTGGCAAAACTTTCAAATCATTTGTGGTTCAAGACATTTAATTAAACATTTTACTAATAATTTTATCTTCGACTTAAGATTTAAATATTTTATTTTGATACCAGTGTAGTGCATTAAGAATAAGAAATCAATTTAATGATTATATTTTTATATGGCTAAAAATGTATGTTCTACTTATATTGTACCTGCTTGATAAAAATCTACTTATAATAGAAAAATAACAACTAATACATTATTTTGAATTGCCGTTTTTACTACAAACATATTTGTAAATATCATAACTATATAATTAACAAAGAATTATAGAAAATCATTTTTTGTGCCATAGCAAGCAAATTAAGAATTGAAAAAGTACCAGAACTAGATCTTGTGCTTAACTTAATTTACCTGGTTTGCCACAAAAATGTTTTTAATTCAATATTCCAGGCGCTAATTTCTTTCATGTAACAAAGGATGTTAACATTATTTCTCATATTGAGAAATCTTTTTAATAAATAATTTATTAAAAAAACATTTGTTTTATTTTTATTGGAAACTAGCAGACCCGACAGAAGTTGTCATATCTTAACTATGAATATTGATTTCGAATTGGTATAATTAACTATAAAATTATTTCAGAAACAAAGTGTTTATTATTCTAATGCAAACACAACAAAAAAAGAATAAGCGAAATCGGTTTTTGGATATATAGAAATTTTCCGCGCAATTTTCTTAATTTTTTCTTTCATAAGAACCTTCTCCTGACAATAACAAACACAAAAAAAAGAATTAGCGAAATCGGTCCAGCCGTTCAGGCGTGATGCCGTGACCAAGGGAAATAGGGATTCATTTTTATATTATAGAAGATTATAAATAATTCTAAAAATCGCCAGTAAGTTAATATAAAGCATTTTATTAACTTAAAAATTAAGCAAGTATATCTACATTAAAATTTTTTGAATTATAAAATATATTAACAACAATATATTATATTTATTAACATAATTTCAGTTTGTTCCAACTTGAGAGTCTTGTGCCTTTGGTATGTTAAATACTTATTAAATCTATTATTATCATACATGAGTGAAATACTGTGCACTGCACACTATTAAATGGAACATTGGATAAAGATAAGTATTATTACTCTAATAAGTCTAAAATTATTCACACTAAAGCATAAGGTTTCTAAAATTATTTAATAAATACCTGAAAACAAAATTAGAAATTGAGCAGTGCTGAAAATATGGGTTGCTGGATGTTTTAAAATTTTCGTTTTCCACAATACACAAAAAACACTTATCAAAATTAATTTATACCAAATACATGGGTTCTTATATATGGCCATATTATAAGTCTTCAATTAAATGTATCAAAAACTTACATAAATAATACTTAAATAAAATAATCACAGGCTTTAGAGGCTCACAAAGTCACAAAACAAGCTAGTGCAAGTCTAACGTACAACATTCATAAAAAACAGTATCCAAAATTAATATTACTTCTTTTTAATTTTTGGTGAAGTAGACTGAAATACACTCGAGGCAGACATTAAATTTTCTATATATTGACCAAGTACTTGATTCTCAGACCTCAATTTTAAATTCTCTTCTTTTACAGAGTCTACTCTTGTCGACAGATCATCTAATGTATTTTGTAATTCAAGTACTTGAGAAATTAAACGAGCTTTCTCCTCTTGTTCATCAGGGCTAGAGTCAGGTTCCAAACTATGATGTTGGGGGCTTGAACTCCCATTTGTAAAAGTTGATTGAATAGAATCCATACTTCTACCATGTATCATGCAGGAAGAATTGCCTTCTGACGTTGAATTTTGATCGGGTTCGTCGTTAATAACGACTGCAATATAAATTAAATTAACTTTAAATATAATTTTAACCAAAGGAAAAAGCTCCTTACCTTGTGGATCATCATCTGCAAGAGGTATGTTATTTATGTCGTCTTGTAATTTTATGGTGGACATTATGAATATATCAAAGATAAAAATTTATAATTATTATTATTAATTAAAACTGGAATTTATATTTAAAATTATTTGATTTTTCTGATTCATCAATCTAAAATAACATTAGAATATAAAACAAAATAATTAATATGACAGATTACACTCTGGATGATCGGTGACAGTTCAGAACGTTACCTAGGTAAGTTCAGATATCAACGTTCGTTAACTCCTTTTACTGTTCGTTTATTCCGATTAGTGACAGTTCAACACGCTTAGGCCCGTATTTATAAACAAAACTCAGCTGAAGCAATGTCAAATGTCAAATTTTTATTCGAGAAATGGCGTTCGTTCAGTGCAAATACCAATGAACTGGAGGGGGGTAGAATGCCAAAGTACATGTTGTACTATTAGAACTAGGTGCCAGCACTGAACTGTAGAGTTCAGTGGGTGCCAGCCACAAGCTGGTGGATCAGACAATAACAATGTGAAATAGAAAATGATTATTTTAAATACTCCCAAGTGAGATGAAAAATAACCTATCTTCGCCCATAGAATCGCACATCAAGTCTATTGACAAGCATTCTACCCCACTATCCAGTTCATTGGCAAATACCTTCTACCAGAAATTAATCAGTGACATCAATTACTGATGGAACAATTGTTGAATAAAAGAACACACCTAAACTAGGAACAAACAAATGCGTCAAAAACATAAACATTGCATGGCCATGCCATACGTGTCTTTTTTTTCCACCGATTTGTTGGAATTGTTTTTTCGCCGATGCGGCCTTGAACGCCTTTTGTTGGATTCGATTTATTTATGGTTGACCGTTGAAATAAATAACAGTTGACATTTTGGATTAAAATTTGTGTTTATAAGTTTATTTGAATGTACCTATTTACTTTAATTTGGACGCATATATTTTTAAAATCTCATTTTTTCGGTTTTCCCACAAAAAAACGCAAAATTCACCCTGTAAAACCCGCTCTTCGTTTTCTGATTTACATGGAGTTTATCAATCTATTCATGCCGCGTTTGATAATCCACATCGGATGCATCTGAGATGTAAAAAATCTTTGATCACGTGATTCAGTATACGTAAATGTAATGGGACAGATGTGTCCGATGTGAATAAAAAAACGCTCGAGATGTAAAAAATGCATCCGATGTGGATTCTCAAACGCAGCAATAAATATAACATTGGACGAGTTCAGATCAAGACATCTGATTAAAAATCGCGAACAGTGAAATCCACCTCTAATTTCTTCTGTAACTGGTACTGTCAAAAGTGTCTTAAGTGTCATAGTTCACAGTCCATCACAGTCAAAAGTCTAATTAGTGGTTTTTTGTATGGAAAATAATCAAAATATATACATCCAAATTACGATTAATCACGAAATAATCATACGTCAGTTTAGAGTGTTATGTTTTATTTTATGTGGTATGGTATTTAAAATGAGGAATGAATTGTGTTAATTTAGCTATTAAAAATGTCTTTTATTATGCAAAAATCAAAGACATGTCAAAAGAGTAAGAAAAAACCTCCACCTCGTCCACCCCCTCCAAATTTTTCCAAATATAAGAGTAAATCAACTTTTAATTTAAACGATAATCTCATAGAATGGAGTCCACCAAGTTCTCCAAAAACGGAAAGAAATCACAACTTTGGGGGGAGTGTATCAAGTTCGTTCAGCAGCAGCACAAGTAGTTTAGCATCTAGTAAAAAAAGCTTTGAGTGTGATATATCAGTTTCTAATAATATATGGCCTATTAATTTGAATGCTACAAACAGAACCAGTAATACAGTAACGAATGTGCCTTTTAACAATCAGACCACCAATAAGCCCTCCACTAATATAATGCAATTATATCAATCTAGCTCAAGAGGCGCTCAAAAGAACCTGCATACAATTCAAATGAGTGTCCCTTCTGTATTGGGTCCTACCATAATACGACCTAGGCCAAATAAAACAAAGGTGGTAAGAGAACAAATTGATGATACAGCCATTTCTTTACCAATGCCTTCAGTTCCACCTCCAAGTCCTCCTAAAAATGTCGATAATGAAGATATACCCTGTGGGGTAGCTTTGTATGACTTTGAAGCAAAGGAACCAAATGATTTATCCTTTCAAGTAAGTAAAAATTTGATCCATTTACAAAACTTCATTTTAAATCAAGAGTTTCATATTCTAAAATGTTCAAAACCATGTGTATTGTATGATTTTTTTTTAATTGAGAGCTGTGTAAGATAAACGTGATTTAAACCTTTTCATAATGATTAAATTGTGACTATATTTTCAATTATTTAACTAAAACTGTACTTTTGAATTAAAAATAAAATATTAAATACCACATAATAATATAAGGTTGATTTCATTATTAATATATTAGTAATTTTTATTGAACATTGACATGAGAATCGATATATTAAGATAAAATGAGTTAAAAAAGGCTTCAAGGAAAAGTAGCTGCTAGTTTCAGTAATTCCTTACATTTGATATCTTTTCAACTAATGTTAACCTGTTTCTTCATATAAATTAAGTAAGTGTTGTACTATCCTTGAAGCCTTTTGGTAGATTGTTGTAATCTACATGCCCATTATGAAATAAATTATTTTGGCTATAATTTGTAGTAACTGTAGGTACATAGATGTCTCCCCTTATTCTTATGTTATATTCAATCATATTTATGTTATTGTCATAATATTTACAACAATATTGTCTAACACTCAGTAATCCTGTCATTTTGAATTAAGTGACTAGACTGTCATAATTTGTATTGTTCCTTCCAACAATTTTGCTATTATAATGTAGTAATAATTATATAACTACAATTTTTTGACATGACTTGTATTCCAACATAACATTCTAATATTTACAGTTAATAATATAAATTATTACTGGCTATTATTAGGAAACCTAATTTGATACATTTTAATTTAATCTGTGTCTTTTTTTATATATTTTAGATGAATGATATAATTTTATTATTAAAAAGAATAAACAATGATTGGTACTTTGGAAGAAACCAAGATAGAGAAGGGATTTTTCCTGCCAATTTTATTGAAGTAATAGTGCCTTTAACTGACAATGATAATACTGTGATGGCTTTATACGAGTTTCCAGCACAAATCAATGAAGACTTAGCACTAAAACCTGGTCAACTGGTAAAAGTTATCAGAAAAATTAATAATGATTGGTTGTATGGGGAATCAAATGGGCAAACTGGGCAATTTCCCAGCAACTTTGTAGACAGGATACCAAATATTTAAATGGGAACAATTGTTAATGTACTAGTTATCTTCAAAATTGAAAAGAGCAGTTCATATTTAATACTCTTTATACTGGTTTTATGTAGTATAGCAAACACCAAAGTAATCTCATAATTTAGCTGTGTTAATACTGTCAAAGTTTGACTACCATTTAGAACAGTGTCATATTTAAAGCTATTTTCATAATTAATATGCCTCCTCAATTTTTGACCTTAAGAGCAAACCGGACCTCTCGCGAAAAACAAGGATTTTCTAATATAAAATTGTATATATATGCACCACTGATATTTTGCAATGTTATATGTGTCGAAAATATTGAAAGCTACTAGATATTTAATGAAACAAAAATCAGCAAATTTTCATAGATTTAATACAGAATGGCGTGTATTTTTTTTTAAATGTTCACAAAATTCAGACTAAAAATAAAGGCTCTAAAGGAATTAGAAATTTTCAAGGTATTCGGTTTGCTCTTAATATTGATCTGAAATTGATTTACAACTTTTTAATTGTTACATTTCTTTTCTTATAAAGATGAATAGGGTTTATTCATTCTGGAGCAAATTTTATTTCTGAAAGTTTTCCATATATATTGTACATAATATTTTTTTATATTTAACTAGTCTTATGACTTTAACAATTTCATAGAGTATTAACTAATAATGTGATTTGGAAATGCATATTAAAAAAGCATATTTTGTAAAATGTACACTTACGTAATATACAAATAAGTAATATTTTCAGTTAATAATTAAATGTATTATATTTAAATAAAATAATATATAACAAAATATTTTTATTAAATGGGCTTTTTATTTCATCCTAAGAATAAATTAGAATGCAGCTTTAGGGATATCTATATCACAGATTACCAAGATCAGACACAAGATGTGCATGAATGTATGGTTTTTTTAATCAAGAAAATATTCAGTATCCATATATCATAATACTTTTAAATGATACAAGGTGCCTCTTAGGTCAAGGATCAAAGGAAGTGAGAACCATAATTGATGCAACAAACTTCAAGGGGACAAAATATGAAAAACTTTCCTATATACATACCTTCTAAAATGCATAATTTTTGAGATACAGTGTCATTTATCTCTCTGGAACTATTTGTCTCGCAGATCAGCTTTTGTAAGAAATAGTATCCTTAAATCTAATCTAAGCAGTGGCAGAGATTTTGGAATTCACAAAAGGTTTTTGCCCCGTTTGCAACAAATTTTTAAAATGTAAAATTTGTGGAGAATTTAAATCGTCTTGAATGCTTCTCATGGTTCTAAGTGTCTACCACGATTCAAAAGAACACTGGTAGTTTTAACAATTTTTGTGTGAACTCGAAAAAACTTTCCCACTAAAGGAATTATTGGCTAAAATACCTTCTTTGAGCAGCATTTGCATTGCCTTGACAGTAGCCAAAAGTAAAGTGAATATCTGAGTATTCTCAATTGGTGAAGTTATAATTGTTGCGATTATTCTTGTTCAAAGCTATAATAAAAATGATGACCATTTTTTCTGCCAAACGGCTATACCTGTCAAATTCCAATATTTTCAAAAGAATACATATTTCTTAAAATTTCGGTTGGTCTATCGTCAGATAAATTTAAAAATTTTGATTTACGGCACTTCTTAATTGAAATGTTGAAACCAAACTCACTTTGCATTAAGTATGACATTTTTTTTAATATCCAATTAGAAAAATTTTGATTGACTTTTTACAATAAGAGGATACAAACAATTCAAGAAATTGCTATCCAAGCATATTATTTAGGTAGTTATAACACTTCCATTCCTCTTGAGATATTTACAAACATAATTATGAACCAAATTATAACATAAAATTTAAGTTGGATCCTGTAACTGCCTGCAGTACGACTGGATCCTTTGTATTGCCGTAGTTGCAAAAAAAAGGAAAGCACAAAATAATAGTTCTATTTAATTTTAACGATTTATAAGAAACTAGCAATAACAGGAAAAAATCTTGAGATAACATCAAATTGTAATAAATGTAACATTATAAATGATATTGCAAAACGGAGCAAATATTGCATAAAAAATGAACAGTAATCAATTATATAAAACAATGAAATCAATTTATCTTCTAATGATGAAATTTTAAAAGGATTTATGTAGATCAGTTCAACAACAAGTGTGTATTATAACGATTAATATAATTATATGAAATATCAACCAAATTAATTAAAAAATACAACACATTCGTAAATTTGTACTCTTAATTAAAAGATTATAATCACTAAAACATAATGTAGTTTAAATTCACAATAAGCCTATTATCACAAATATATCGATTTATTTACAAGCCTAACTAGGTATTAAATAACTTAATTCAAAAATAATCTGAAAATATATACAATAATTGATCTCTGAAGAGTATAAGAGGAGATTTTGTTAATCTGGTCTGTATATAGGTATTTTCGGTAAATATTCTATAAGTATTACATATTCCATCATTGAAGATGAGTCACAATGCTGTTTGCTTAACCTCCAATGCAGTCCTAACTTGTTATATAAATAACTGTTCTCCCATTCCAACAGTTTGTTCAAAGAATGCTGTGTCTAAAAAATAGTACATTTTTATTTAAGTTTATTATTCATTTTGATAAAAATAAAATTGGGTATTTGATATTCTTCTTATATATTTTACAAATTAATTATGTATAAAGTGAGAATTAAAAAAAAATGTTTTTCTATATTGTTTGAGAAACTGGTTTTTATTTAAATTTTTATTGCAGCCCAGTAAGATTTCTGTAGGTAAAAAATAACTATAGAAAAAGTTAAATGAATAATTAAGTATGTTTTAATATTTTATTAGGTATAATGGCATATTTTTTTTGCATTTTTACTTTAAATTCAAAAAGTTATTACTAGGCATAAAATAAAGAATTAAGCATTTTGTTAAATGATGTTCAAGAACATACTGATTACATGATTATTTCTTGGTATCCATAAAATTAACATTTGGAAATAAAACATAATTGCATATTAAGCCAATTTATTCTTTGACAGCATAAAAATACTAATTTTAGAATTCAGATTATCCAAGGTCATATTAAAATAAGAACAAATAATTCCACTGACATTTCAACTTTTAAACCATCCATTACCTTCACATCGAAAACATGAAAATTTTGAAAACTGAATAGAGATGTTTCCTGGATATTCATTTAAACAATGATAATAAAAATAAATATTACTATCAATAATGATGGTGGGTAAGGTTTTCCTCACATGTAAGTCAAATGGCACCATCATTCATCTTTAAGTCCCCTGAGTGCCCCAGCAAAAAATAATAATAATAGGCCCTCCCCACACAGGCTCAGTCAGCTTCAAGGGATGAAATTAACTCATAACAGGGTAAATTAGAGATTATACACTAGAAAAAATTAAGGGATCAAAAAAATCTCTATTTTTAGAGTGGCTGTATCTTTGGTAAAAATGATCGTATGTGAAAAAAAAAAGCAATTTGAAGCTTGAAGTGTCTAGTTTATGGATCTTACAATAAAAAAAATTTCCAACCAACAATTAGCACAAAATCCTGATGAAAATAATAAGTAAATACCTACCCCTTATTTATATAAGTATGTTATCTAGTAGAGATAAAATTTGCTTAAATAACTAATATAAAATTTTAAGCATTAACACAAAAAAAATATATCCACAAGCTACTCTTTATTTTTAAAAATTTTATATATTAACTGCTGCACTTTATATACAAAAATAAATGTAATCTTAAACTGTGTCTATAAAAATTTTATATAATTGACTTGAAGTCAATACAAAAACATGCTAATCTGTATTTAAATACATGTTTATTATTAATTTTCAACTTACTCTCTTGCTAAGACAGATTACGGGCCACAAAGAACAACCAAGAGTGCAACAACAGCAAAGACATCCGCAAAATAGCCACTTAACATTAATTGGAAGTGTTTTTTTAAGAATGCCATTTATTCTCATTACAGTTTCTTTAAATTCCTCTGGAGCCACTCTTGATACCAATCCACTAGGAAATTCCGTATTGAATCTATTGCTTAAACCAAAGCTAAAAAGAAATAATGATAAAATGTTGAAGCTCATGAATAATACAAATATACTTACACAGTCATATTACCAGCACCCCTAATTACCACGGGATCAGGAACCAACGATACGTCGGCTGGTGTATTTTCCTCATTTTCTATTTCTTCCTCATAATATATGGCATCAAAACCTTCCATGTGTCTACAATATAAGATTTTAATTAATGCACAATAGTGGCCACCATTAAATTTGTATTTACCTTCCAACGTAATGTATTGTTCGTTAACAGAGACTAATAAATGATTTTCGATTTCAGGGATTGTTAATTAATTCTTTATTTAATGCTTTGTTTACTTTCTTTTACAATGCCATGCCATAACGGACCACTGCACAGTAGGTATCGCCATAGATAAATTGGAGAAACAGTAACAGAACCGCAAACAGAACACGAACTATATACAGTAACCACAGTAATGGATAAGAAAGAGATGGAAATAAGTTTCCAGCGCCGCAAGTGTCTGGCCGCAGAACTAAGTCGATATGGCGGTAAATTCAAACTCTAAACTAAGGCACGATAAAATTTATTATGGTTAGCTAGAGCAGATGTAGTAGATGTGTCCGATGTGGATGAAGAAACACTCGAGATGTAAAAAATGCATTGGACGTGGATATTCGAACGCGGTGTAAATGTAGATGTAATAAACAAAACGCTCTACTGGGGCTATTTTCAAACTGTGTGAGTACTCATTTCTCTCAAGATTCTCATCAGAAATGTCATACGTCAATGTGGAAATGTTGTTTTTAAAGGCATCGAGGATTAAAATTCTTAGGAAGATTTTAATTCTCTCTAAATAAACCGAGAGAAACAGTCAGTGAGTTCACACTGGCCCTAAGAGCCCTAAAAATACGGTTTTACGTTGACGTATGACATTTCTCTTGAGAGAAATGAATTCTCTCGAGTTTGAAAATAGCCCCCCAGGGGCCAGTGTGAACTCACTGACTGTTTCTCTCGGTTTATTTAGAGATAATTAAAATCTTCCTAAGAATTTTAATCCTCGATGCCTTTAAAAACAACATTTCCACATTGACGTATGACATTTCTGATGAGAATCTTGAGAGAAATGAGTACTCACACAGTTTGAAAATAGGTCCCCTGGTCACGTGATAAAATGTCAATGACAAGATAGAAGGGATAGAAGTTTATATTTTTTAAATTTAACTTTTGAGACTAGAAATCAACCTAAATTTGAAATCTTAACAAAAATTAAACACACTATTCACTTTTACATTAGGCGAGTTCGGTCAGTCAGGGGCTGGAGCGGGACAAATTTTAGGGTGCTTTTAAATGACATTTAAGCGTGTTAAACTGTCACTAATCGGACTAAACCGAACGCTAAAAGAGTCGTTTGGAGTTAAAAGTGTTAAAGGAGTTAAAGGAACGTGGCAAACCGAACGCAATGATTCACGCTAGCATAAACAAAGGATAAATCGATAAACTAGGCTTCACAGAACACCTACTTTCTGGCATGGAACGAAAATCTCATTAACAAATGGGATGTAAAAAATGTAGACAGTTACATATCGGATAAACAAACGCAGATGTAAATGCTCGAGATGTAAAAAATGCATCGGATGTGGATATTCAAACGCAGCAAAAATAAGTTAGTTGGAAGAGTTAGTATACCGAAGGGGTTGCGACATACGATGTATTTTATCTACAACATGCAAAACATAGAAAAATAAAAAGTGGATTTAATTTACATATTTTATGTCAAACACAATGAAAATATTATTTAAAAAAAAATGGCTTGTAAATTTTTCAAAAATTAGCAGACTTGACGCGAACTATTTGGAATAAAATGGCGTCCAAGATGGAAGGCTATGACGCAACCCCCTTAAATATACGAGCCCTTCCTACTGGCAGCTTTAATTTTAAAAGAGAAATTTGGTTGGCAACACTGCTCACTGTCAATTGGGTCGTGTGTCGTGCGCCGTGCGTCCTGCGTCGTGAGTTGTAAAGTGAGTGTTTTGTGGTGCAGCCGTGTTAAGGAGAGAAAGCTTGGTGAGGTGTATTCCTTCATTTTTTTAAATTACAGTGACTATTTTAAGTTTTTCATATCGAAACTATTGTAATCTTTAAAATCATATTCCTGATTCTAATTAAAACGCATTGTAGAAGCATCAGAAATGAAGGTAAGACTATAAAAAAGTAATTTTGTTGGTTTGTGTAATGGTTGGTTGTTGCTTTCCGTTCCAATATGTCACTTTTATTTCTGAACATTTTTGGAATGCATTTTATTTAATTTTCTTTGCTAATAGGTATATTTATAATTAAAATAATCTTATTTTTGTCCATTTAACCTTTTGCTTAGTAAAAACCATTGTAAGAACGCCAAAATTAAAAGTCCATTTTTTATAAAAATGTGTTCGCCATAGATATTTTGTAAATAAGCTTTAATGATTGCTGTGTAGTATAGTGTTTAAGTTTAGCAGTTAAACTTTATTTTGGCACAAATTTCTTCAATAGGTAGGTAGTTTGTTTAAACTTTACCATATTTTAAAGTTTTTTATACAGGATGTACCTACAAAATAATGCATTCCTTAAAGACATGTAGGCAGTTAAGATTATTTATAATCGTCCCGCTAAATGTCTATTTCTAGTTTAAATATTTCAGCCATGGACGCCGTCACACGGGAGCAAGGGGGATGTATGTCCCCTCCCCCGTATTAGTAATTTTGTATTTTTTCTCCATTGCTTTTGACTATAGCCTTTGACGACTTGACCCTGCCTATAAGAAGAGCCCTCCCTGGAAATTCTTTAAACAGTGCTCATGCTTTCAGCTACTTTTAAATATGTTTTGACCATTGAATTAGGTTAAAAAATAATATCTCCAAAAGTGATTCTATCCAGGGGAGTGAATAGGGGTGCTGGATGTGCAAACCAATGTACAAAATTACCTAGTCTACCTAGAAATTTTTCTTGTTGTCCTTAAACTAAATAAAGAAACATTGTTTAGGGATAAAAAACATTTGTGAGTGAGTACCTAGTATACATACTTGAAGAAAATGTTTTTTTCTGGAGAGCAGTAACATTTATTTTACTTTGTCAAGGAGGATACATAGGTGGCATTCTGTTTTTATTTAATCACTAAAGTTTGTTGGAAAATTGGAAACTTCCACCTATGGATTTTATTTTCCTATTAAAGGACAAGGAACTTTTCCAAATGTATGTTTTAGTACAAACAAGATTTAATGGTAAATTTGTTTAAAAAGCATATCAGAAACTCTAAAAACTTTCTGGGAATACCTATAAAATCGCAAGAAAATTTACAAATTCTGTATTGTTTAACAGTTTTGACTTAATTTGCCTCTGCAATTTAAATTAACCTAGACCTTTACCTATTTTAATTTATCTAAGATTAATTCATATTAAAGTATTTTAATATTTTAGTTTTATGATTTCAAACTAGGTACTAGTAGGTATATTGTCATATCTGAAATGAAAAAAAACTCTGAACTTCAGAAATTTATAATTAGTAAATGGCACATATAAACAGATTTCATTAGCTTGTGGAAAAAATAATTTCATTTTACAGGGTGCTCTCAAAATATTACATTTGAGATAAGGGATGTTAAAGGAGAATTTTTAAAATTTATTTTTTGTAGAAGTAATGTTGGAGATTTATAATAATAATTTTGAACATAGTGATATTTGGATATGAAAATTTATAATTTCATATTTACATCCATCCATTTTATTTTGTGGCATAAATATACATTAAAATTTTTTGGTATTTAAATTAGCGCCATTTTTAATGAAAAATATGGAGACACATTGGTTTAACAAAAAAAAGAAGTTATATTTGTTATTAACCCCAAAAGTTCACAGTTTTTGATATAATCTCATTTTGGAAATCAACTCCCATAATTCTCATTTAATTCACATGGTAGGCATCTTTGATAATGGTGTTTTTACAGTAGTGTGGTGATAAATATTAATGAATAGCAAAATAATTCTTGACACCCACCTACTATGCTAATATTTCATACAATAATTATATTGAATTTGTAAAAATTCTAGAATAAAAAATAACAAAATAAAATAAATGTATAGAATAGAATATGTAGGTAGGCACTAAAATAATAACAAAAAAAGTATCAAATTACTCTATATTTGCTGTTACATGTTACATTTTTAATTTATATTTAATGTAATACAACACAGTATATTGTTTAGAGTGGCACAACACAAGTGTTCAATCACTTAGGTGCTTAACTCTGGATGATTTTCATTTGTTCTTTCCACTAGTTTTACTACTTTTCATCTTTATTACAATTTTCTAGTCTGTTTTCTTCATGGATTCATCTATACATATCTTGTTCATTTTATCTTTATTTTTGTTTTTATTGATATTATTTCCATAAGGCATGTATAATTGTTTTAAATCTAAATTATTTTAGATTTCACATTGTAAATTTGTAAGAAAATTGTAAATATTGTAAAAGGGCTTATGTCCAAATAAATAAATAAAAAAATAAAAAATATATAATTTTAAATGAAAATTATGAAAACTGATTTCTAAAATGCGATTATATAGAAAACAGTACTTTTGGTGTTATTAAGTAGTATAACTTTTTACTAGGCTATTAAAGGCATTATTTTTCGCATGAAATGCTTATTTTTTTTTTTATAAAAATTACTTTTTGACGTACAATTTTTAAAAATAATTTCTCCACTGATGCAATTGTATGTTCTAGATGAATACCAGAGTTTTTGTTGGGGGCCTGACCTACAGGATCAAGGAACGTGATTTAGAAAAGTTTTTCCGTAAATATGGCAGAATAAGAGAAGTCTCAATGAAAAATGGATTCGCCTTTGTAGTAAGTTTTTTTTTTTTTTTTTTTTTTTTTAACTTCAACTTTGCATACATAGTGTGGCAACCATATAGGACAAGCTCTTTATTGGCTCTAAATGATACTACTTGTCAACAATGTTTTTTAGGACCCTCACATGTATATTATCTATTTTCTGCATAAACTTAAAATTACTTATAATTTTCCTTTTTATTTTGAACAGGAATTTGATGATCATCGTGATGCTGAAGATGCAATTTATGAATTGAATGGCAGAGATTTGATGGGTGAAAAGTAATTTTCTTTAAATATATTTATGAGTATTTTCCTGATTAACTTTTTTATAGGATTTCTGTAGAAAGGGCACGTGGTACCCCAAGGGGAAGTGATCAGTGGAAAGACAGTCGCAGAGGTGGTAGCTACAGAGGCGGCTATGGGGGTCCACCTTCACGTAGTAGCAACAGAGATGCACGTGATAAGTAAGTAATATAGTCTGAATACAATTATATAAATCAATTTTTAGATAGGAATGATATTACTATTAGTAATGCATGCCTATCGGAGAGGGACTCAGGGGGAAAGTGGTACAAGTGACTTTTACATTGTATTTGAAAAAATACAAGTAAAGTTTATAAAATTCAATAATATTTATGTTTGTTTTCCATAATTGTAAAACTGTTCGTACCCAACTGGTACCAACTATTTTTTTTTTCTTTTATATTTTGCATGTTTTTTCTACTATATGTATTGCAATTATTTTTCTGAAAAGGGGTCTTCCTAGTTTAGAAATAAAAAACAAAAAAAATACACAAAAACCAAAAATACACAAAGAAAACAAAAACTAAAAATAGACGCACAAAAACATACAAAATATGCATTAGAAAATTTGTACTCCTTCAATTTTGAAAATTTAAGAATACAGTAATAAAAAGAATGATCCTTGAGAAAAAATATAAACACTCTAAATAATAAAATTGACAAAAGATTTATCAAATAATTTAATCAGCCAGTTGTAAGCTTTTTAATTTTTGACTAACGCTACTGCTAATTTTTAATTATGTTAAAACTTCTTTTTGCTTAACTAATAATTTTGTTAATCCAACTTCAAATACATACACCTACACACTATCAGAAACAAAAAGATGGGTTTTTGTCCATGAAAATTTTAAAGTTTGTTATGCTTCTAAGTGTTTTTTAAATTTTAACAAATTGTGACAAAATATAAATGATTGATCATACCAAAGACACTTTATTTGCTTATAAAAAATTCTATTTCAATCAGAAAATCATACTGTTAACTTTCAATTTTCAAGGTCAGAGTTAACTACACATTAAAATACTGGCCCTAAGGGCCGATTTTTGTTATGTCAAACGAAATTTAAATTACTAAACGAAGATTAAAATGACATTTTTACATTAACAATGTCATTTTAATCTTTGTTTAGTAATTTAACCTTCATTTAACACAACGGTGGAATCGGCCCTAAGAGACATATTCTTGAAAACAAATATGCAGTTATTTAATTCTGCTCAATATGTCACTTTTACTGCTTTCCCTCTGAGTCCCTCGATTGACTATATATACTTACTTTTTAGGTATGGACCACCCACTAGAACCAGATACCGCGTATATGTAGAAAACTTATCATCAAGAATTAGTTGGCAGGTAAGAAAAGTTCATTATTTAAAGAAAACTCGGTAAGAATGATATAGTGTTTTTCAATCTATTGATATTACTATTAGTATTAAAATCTATTAAAGATTGAGGTTGGTGAATCAGAGATTTTTCAGAATATTTTTAAGTTTTTTAAGTTTATATAAATGTGAAAATATTGTTATCTAAAAAAATGTGTATATTTATTGGATACATTATATATAATTATAGAGGTCATCCCATGGTAGAACCAGATAAATGTTTAATGAAAAATGACCCTCTTTTCTACCAAATAGATGTTTAAACCTCGTTTCTTATGTTTTTTGGAAGGCCTTTTTTTGATAATCCCTACAATTATTATTAAATTATTTAGCACGAGTGGGAAAAACTTAACTATTTTGTTTATTCACTTTTTCTCATGTTAATGACTCTTTTTAGATGTAGAATTTTTAGAGATGAATTTAATATGGATTGGGGTGTGGTAGGGGATTACGTATTTTTGAAGTATCTAATAATTTGTATGTCATTTTTCATTCAACATTTGAAAACCAAAGAGGGTAAAGGGAGCAAGGCAAGGCCAGTGACTGAAAAAATATCATCCAATTTCACATGCAGTCCAAAGTAATGAGGCAATCTGGGGTATCATGAGAATCCATCCAAGTGTAACCACATTTTGAGCGTATTGGATACAACCAAGCCATGGCCACGATGTGTCTGAGGACCCACAAAATCCCAGGTTCTGTGAAGATTAGAAATTACCTTTCTACTTCTGTTCCTTACCGTTCTCCCCCACCAACGACAAAAGACATCTATATATTGACGTCTAAATTCAAATAATCAATATATTGATGGGTATATACACGGCGCGGATGGTCCATTTATCACCAACCCAAGAAGTACTTTAGCTCCTACACCAATTATACAACTCCAGGCTTAGGATCAATTTAATTCAAAAATGCACAAGTTGCCACTATTTTTAATTACATTAAATATTGCAGGAAAGTTATTTATACTTTAATTTATACATTTATTGTCGTTATTTTAATTATAGATGTGAGGTGATTTTTTCCACCTGATCATTCACCTAAATGTGTGATGGTAGATACATTTTTAAATTTTTGGAAAGACCATTTTGAGATATTTTGATCGACTTCTTGTAAAGTAAACAATTACAGGGTTGTATTTTGAGGCCCGATAGATATAATGAATTATATGAATTTAAAAAATTAAAGTTTGGAAGTTGAATCTAATTGGAAATTAAAAAAAAGTAGCTGTGTTTTAAAAATATATCGACATAAAAAATTGCATGCAGATAAATGGTTTTGCCTGTTAAATTAAAAATTAATTTTCATCTTATTTTTGTGCTTTTAATGAATAGTTGATCAATGTTAGTTTGACAGCATTGTTCAAAAAATTATATCAAGGCTTTCAAAAATTTCCATAGATTAATTAAGCTGATGATGTTTTTATCTGTTAGTTGTTTATGTATTGATTGTACAGTCTCAACTAAAATTATTATTAAGTGCATTTTACTGTATTTTGCTTGTATATTTTAAGGAATATTGATAGTTAAATGTTTTTATCATTGCCAAGCTTAACTATGGGGTATTTCACTTAAATCGTTTTACCAGTAGAAATATCACTTAAAATACTCATAGTGAACTAATTTTTTGTATAATTGTCTTTTAACACGTTTTTGCAGTATAGGGACATATTCTTTTTTAATGTCAAACAGTGACGGCTATAATAGCGTGCGTTGTACATCATAATAACACTGTCATCCAGTATATTTGGTAATAAATAATAGTTTTTTGAATTAATTTTTGAAGTTTTGCAGTTGTATCTGATGGTAATCCAAACTTAAGTCCATTATGTTTATTGCTGATAACAAACCATTTGGAATCCAATATTTTTCTTTACAGGCATGAATTATTATGATTCTTTGTTTTTTTTTTTTTTGATGCACATTACTTTCCCAGTGAAATATTTACAATGAACTAAATTTGTTTCAATAACGTACAGAAACGCCCACTTTCCCTTCCAGGAACACAATTGAGGATATTTAAACACCATCCTGAGGGATTTTCTCATTTGATTAAATATCTTGAAATGGTCTTTATTCAATTAGTCAAACAGGGATTCCTCGACTTGTGCAATTTTTTACTTATATATTGATTTTTAACTTAAATTGAAAAATCCTTTGCCTGTCATTACCACCTGAAGATGGATGATAATTGGATCCCGAAAAGAATGTAAAAGTAAACGTTTCTCACAAAGAGCACTGTTTCCCTTGGAGCGTGTGGTATATCTAGGCCTGATCCATGCTCAATCTATGTGGTACACACATGAGTGGCAGTTGGTACAGTCAATCAATCAGTCAGTTTTTACGCGCCAGTCCATTGATTCCATTGGTTCTATGTGGTATCCTATACACTATGCCTCAGGTAAATGCCATAGCATGATGCGCATTTTTTACTTGTTACACTTTGTCTCCAACAAATTGCTAAGTATCAATAGACACCGGAATGCTCTTTCACAGGATGCCATCATCTTTCCGTCACAAAATCAACAAAACCAACTCGAAAAAACTGTTCTTAATTCAGCCAGATCTCTCGGGTTTAGTCTATTTTTGACATAATTGTCAAATCAAGATTTGTGCTGGTGTGGCAATGGCATTTCGTGAAAGAGCATTAAAAAGTATTGAAAGCCTTTTTTACACATTTGCTTTTTTATGTTTTCCCCTCTATATTAAAAATGAACTTATTTTATGCTTTCTATGTTCCCAAAGTTAAAAAAATACATTATGATATTTTTTGTCTAACAACGTCATTTTTAAATATTGGAGGAGGAGGAGATATTTTCACAATCACTTGAGTGTTCAAAGTATCAAAATTGCACTTAAATAGAGTTTGTTGAAATAAAACACAATATTATATGCTTTAACAAATGATTTGTTTTTGTTTCGTTTCGTTTTTTTATATCGTTAAAATGTTAACAAAAAAATAAATAAAATAAAAATATAGCCTGACAAAGTGTAACATATGTTATAAAGACTAGATTCATTTACCAAAGATGTTTATATTTTTAAGTTTGGATTTTATCGTTTTATTTGTCGCAAGTCAGGTAATTTTTTTAAAACCACTTAATATTTTTTCATATTGAATTAATACTTATTCTCTTATTAGGACCTGAAAGACTACATGAGACAAGCAGGTGAAGTTACTTTTGCCGATGCGCATAAGCAGAGACGCAATGAAGGGTAATTGACTTCATTTCTTTAATAATAGTTGCATCTCTAAATTTATTCTTGATTACAGGATAGTAGAATTTGCGTCCTACAAGGATTTAAAGAATGTTATCGATAAACTAGATGGAACAGAACTGAATGGTAGAAAAATCAAATTGGTTGAGGATCGCGCTACTGCCAGCAAGAGAAGCAGGACTGCTTCAAGCAGTCGTTCACGATCACGATCCAGGTAAAACATATTTGTATTTGAATTCATTTTTGTCGTTACAAATTATACTTAATTTTTAAACACATTGTGATTGGTTACATTAAAAATTTAAAATATCAGATATAACAAGTATCTTAAAATTGGAATCTTAAATAAAACAATTATTTTACTTGTATGAAAACTTTAAACCTATACAGTAGATTAGATTCGAAAGGAATTGGATATTATTTGTCCCTGTCCACCACAACCTTTTCAGATCTACTGTGGAATGTGTTTAAAATGATCTTTATTTGTTGCTTACATAAAACTTTAACTTCAATGCATTCATAAGAAAGTTTTCCAATGTTTTGCTTCAAATGATACAAAAGTCCGCTAAAATAATTAGTAACTTTTCCTTTTGTAAATGCGACTTTTGAATTTGCTTTTCCCGTAATCAATGAAATATAACTGTAAAGACGCTTGCAAACTTGTCCAATTTTTACTTGTACTATGCTAAATTTTATGTGACATGTCATGGTCAGGCCAGACTTAAAAAGTGTGAACATCATCAAGGAAAATAAACTTTGAAATGTATTAAGATTTAATTTTTCACTTAGGTCCAGAAGCCGTTCTAACAAGAGGTCAAAGTCTCGTTCAAGAAGTGTCGAAAAAGATGGCTCCAAATCACCACATGCTAAAGACAAAAACGATTCCAGAGACAAGTCTCGCTCTAACTCGCGTTCTTCTTCGAAGAGCAGATCCCGAAGTAATTCGCCCGCTAATGGAGATAATTAACTTAGCAACTGAAAAGTTCAGCTAAAGCATTAATTTTAGATAACTAACTCCAAATCCAATATATTAAACTTGGTGTCAAAGTCGGTCTTCTTTTTGTATCATGTATATTTGATTTTTTTACAACTACAATGTAAAACTTCTTTTTTTGCAAAATTTAGATGTATTACTCTTGTCATTAATGTAGTTGCCTGACGCATGGGATAGTACACTTAAGGATTTTAGTTTTAGTATTTTTTACTTTTGGTTTGATTTTTTTTTAATTGTTTTGACATGTTTCTAAATTAGAAACATAATTGCTATATCATAATCATTTGCGATATTTTTTTAATCATTTGGAAAATTGAATTTTAGAAGTTGAAAATACAGAGTATCCCTTACAATGTTCATTTTGGTAATTGTATTGTTTTTCGATCATGTATGCTTAGTTCAATAAAAAAATATTAAATACCAACGTTCGTTTGATTTACAGACCAAATGTTTAATATCAATGTACTAAAATGTGAGTACAATCTGCATTGTATTTCCATAAAAATTAGTAAATTGTTGGAGATTGCTGGAGATCAGTTTAAAAAAAAAAACCTTCAGAATTCATCGAAGTTAACGTGGTATATATTGATAAACATTTTCTTTAGTATGAATGACAATATTCAAATTCTTGATCCTGCCACAGTTACAATTTCAGAATAGGGATCAGAGCTGCAGTACTGAATACTTTATGAACTTAAAAAAATTGTTGATATAAGAAAAAAGTGCCGGAACATAACCATGTATTTTTTTTTTTTGTTCTTAAAATATACCCTAAGGGGATTTTACTCATGAAATATATTTGCCGCAACACATAAGATGTTGCCTCACATACCATAAATCTCATTGCAACTACGGATTAGAAAAATTCGGTAAATGGTTTACTGCCTTTGCCTAAATGTTCGAAGGTGTGGAATAAATGCGGACGGCCGAAATCTGCTGAAATAATACAAGAAGAACTTACACATAAGTTAAAAGTTCCAGAAGTTACCAGATGGAACTCCACTTATGACGCTGTCGTCCAAATTGTTTCTGTCAAAGATAAGTTAGGAGTTCTATGTGATAAACTTATGATTCCGGTATTTAAGGAACATGAAATATCCTTTTTAGAGGAATATATCAAATTAATGCAGCTTCTGGATGAAACATTAGATTTTTACAGGGAGAGCATAACACCTATTATGGGTATCTGCTTCCCAGCTTAGTTTCGATGAAAACTAAACTTCAAAAGCTAAAAATATCAGGCGATATAAACCAGCCAACAATGCCTTCAGATGCCATAATTAAGTCTGTTGGGTAAAGATTTAAAGAACTTTTAACATGAAAATATCCAGTCAGACGATCATTTTTTTGATTTTGAGGAAGAAGAACAAGAGTGTGTCTTTATTAAGTGAACTACCGGTACGAGGACTAAAACATACCAAAAGATGGTGCCGTGAAGTGGGACTTAGTATAAACCCTACAAAAACAACACTAGTAGCCTTTTCAAGGAAAACTTAATCTCAAAACCGTTAAATTAGACGGGATAGATATAGAATGGAAAAATGAAGTCAAATATCTAGGCTTAACCCTGGACAACAAACTTCTCTGGAATACACATGAGAAGGAAGTAGTAAATAAGGCCACAAAAGCCCTAATGGTATGCAGAAACAATGCAGGCAAACGATGGTGATGTAATCCAAACATACTGCGATGGATGTATACTGCAATAGTGAGACCAATCATCACTTACGGCGCTATAGCCTGGAGTAACAGAACTAGTTTAGCTACTACGAGAGCTAATATCTTAAAAGTACAAAAACTCGCCTGTGTTTGCATTACTGGTGCAATAAGAACCTGTCCTACGGCCGCAGTGGAGGTGATCTTAAACCTCACCCCTCTACATTTGATGATAGAGAATGTGGCAAAAAGTACACGATATAGAATGATCAGGTATGCAGTAATCAGACGAAAGCCTACTCGCTTCAGGACTAAAGATACCTGGGACATGCCCCAGGATGAAATGCTAAAGAAGTACAGTTTTGTGAAAAATTTCAAAACCACAGAGCTGGGCTGCAAGAAAGAATGCTTGCATCCGAAAGACGTGCTATTCAGTGGTATACGGACGGTTCCAAAACCATAGAAGGAACTGGAATAGAAGTTTATGGGCCGAGAACCAAGCACTCCGAAAGCTTGGGAAAATACCCAAGCATCTTCCAGGCAGAAATTCACGCCATTAAGAAGTGTATCCAGTTCAACATCGAGAGAAACCTATCATAGACAAGAGATTATCATCATGTCCGATAGTCAAGCAGCCATCAAAGCGCTGAGCTCTTACGTAATCAGCTCAAAACATTTTAGAGTCGCAAAAAGTAAGGGTTTAAATTCAACAATTAAAAACAAACTCTTAAACGACAAATTTTCTTCTGTCTGTGATCTTGAATGACAAATATTGAATATAGAGAAAATACTGATGTTTTGTTGGGCATGGGAATTTAATACCCTGCGACCTAAAATATCTATTGTGTTCCCTTCTGTCGCTAATGCAGCAAGGAAATAAGCCTCCATGCTTATATCGATCCTTCCAATCCTATCTTCTCAAGGAAATGTAAGATTTTGAGTCCCTTCAAGTTAAGTAGATTTTGGTATGCTCCAAGTATAATGCTCTTGGATTCTAGAGTGCTACACATTCAGTCTGAATGTGAATGGAGGTTTCGTCCTCTTTACAAAATCTGCACTCAGTATATTCTGCTGCTCTCAGTTTACTAAGATATCCTTTGAATCGGCAATGGCCTGGAAGGATCCTGATAACAATGCTTGCCTGTTCTTGCTCAGGCAGATACAGGCTTCTGATATTTTCTGGTCACATTCGCCCAGAAGTATTTTATATAGTCCCAAGAAATTGTTCCAATTATCGGTTCTTCTATACTGCCAAATTCATTTTATTAATACTGTGTTACTGCTGATATCGCAAAACTGCTCAGGTCCCACAAGTGGTGTTGAGCCACTTGAAAATGTATCTCAGACTTTAAACAATTCATATCTCTCTGAAGAATTTAAAATAATACGGATGAATGTTCGTAGTTTAAAAAAATTTAGATGAATCAGTTATTTCATTGCATCAAACTCAATTCAATTTTAGAATTAATTATATTTACTACAACGCGGCAAATTCCTGATATTACTTTATATAATATTGATAACTATGTCACATTATATAACAAGAGTACTCTTAAAAAAAATGTAAACTATACATTCAAAATGTAGGTATATACGTCATAGGTATTCACAAAGTACTAAATATTTAACTACAATATATCGTTCACCCAGCAGTTTTCCTTGTTTTCAACTCTTAACTTTATAATTATCTAAAAAATAAACATCATCAAGATATCAATATAATCACAGATGATATAAACATTGACCTTCTAAAAGGCTGATTATAAAGAAGAGTATAAATAATATCCTTAGCTACTATGAGTCAATCTTATGTAAATGAGTACCCTACATTACCAAGCCGTACTTGCCTTGATTACTATTTGGTATTAGAAAAATCAAATTCAGAGAAATGTAATATTTGTTCATATATTATTGGATATAATATTATTGATCACAACCTGATAGGTCTTACTTTTAAAGTAAATATAAAAAAAGAGACAGAAACAAAAGGTCTTAATTTTAAAGTAAATATAAAAAAAGAGACAGAAACAAACAACTTTAAGACATATGTAAATTATCCAGCATTAAATCAAGAATATAAATGGGATGATATCTACAGGGAAACAGACTGTGATACTATTACATTTAATTTTATACAGACTTGGAAATTAAAACGCGAAAGATACAAGTTAAATCTATTAGGGACGAGCGTAAGCAGAAATGAGAAAGAAGACGTACATACCGAGTACGAGGCGACGGATTAGGCAATGCGCTGCTCAGTGGTCTTTGTTTATTTCAGACGTGGTCCTATTATATCTTGTCTAATTCATTGTTCAAATTTACCTGTAAATAAAATATATTAATAAACACAAAAACTATTAAAATAAAACAAAAACAATCATTTAATAAAAATTGGCTATTTCAAAATTTATTATAATAAATTTATTGAAAATAAAATACATCATACAAAAATTCTTTATAGAATTCAACGAATTACAGCAAAGGTACATACTCATAGGTATATACAAGGGGGGTAGCTGCCCCTCGGACTTTCCAAAATATAGTTCTAAAAATATATAGGGAAAAATACAAAAAACTACGTAAAATATTTTGGATTCAGTGTTGTAAAGAAAATTTGTAAAATTATAAAAGTCCCCAAGGCTAAAAACAACAGATACTGACTCACACGATATAAAATTACCTCTTATATGAGGTATCACATTTTTGATTACGTAATACTGTTTCCTCTCGCGAGGGGAATAAAATTAAGGATTAGAGAATTATTATAAACTGTAAAAACAAAACAAAAACAATCATTTAATAAAAAAAAATTTGAAGCTAAAAACAAAAAATACTGGCTCACACGATATAAAATTACCTTTCATATGAAGTATCACACTTTTGATTAGGTAATATTGTTTCCCTTCGTGAGAGAATTAAAATTGAGGATTAGGGAATTAATCATAATGTTGCATTCTCCAAAAAATACCTTGTCTTTGATGTGTCACACGTGATACATACCCTTTATAAACACTCGGCATCATTGTATATAAGAACCCTACGTAAGCCCTTTGAAGGAAAGTTAACAATAATGGGAAACTGCTGGTCATTTGCAGTTCTTTCACTACTTGAGCTGATAAATTTACGAGCCTTATACAAGCCCATTGAAGGGATTAATATTATGAGAAAATGCTGGCCATGTGTGGTCCACATAACACCCAATGTTCTATGAATATACTAAGAATGTTCTATTTATATTCTTTTTGGTATGTCCTTTTTAGAAAATTCTTAGAACTTGCCTGGAATATACTTTGAAAGTATATTCTAGAAAATATATAATGAAAGTATATTCTGAGTACGTACCTCAAAAGTATATTCTAAAAAGTATAAACTGAATACGCATCTCCACTTTTCAGTTTGGAAGAAATAGATCACAAACTCTTGGTAAGTGGTGATTCAACCAAAATTTCGTACTTATAGAGGAGGAAAACAGGTCCCATCCGTATATTTTTATACCTGAAGACCATAAAATCATAAGGCATTGTATTAAACACAGTTTTTTTATACTATTTTAAAATAATTTTAAATCATATTTTCTGACATTGAAATTGTTGGAGTTACAGTTATTACACACAGCCTCAGTTGTTGATTTTCCTATGTTTTGCATGTAAAATCAAAAACTGCAGTTTAATTTTATCCTAAATAAAAGGGCATTATTATTATTTAACATTCAAATTCAAACATCAATCTGCTATACTGTCGAGTGTCAAAACTATCAATTCTTAGCAA